ATGAGCCCATTGATCACTATCCAACCTTGATAGGATTTTTGATGTTCGGTTTCTGATGAAAGTTGTCCAGCGACTGGGTTGGCTACTAAGCCACGATAACACCACATTAGAGTCTGTCCATCCGTGTATGTTGGTTTGGCTAATGCTACGTTTGCAACTTCTGTGATTAATTTGGCCAGGAGAACAGCGCCCATTAACTCCAGTCTGGGAATAGAAACCTGCATGGTTGGAGCAACTTTAGTTTTTGCAGCAATCAAATGAACATGAATATTACCATTTGCATCCATAGTCCGTAAGTAAACTACGGCTGCATATGCAGTGTTTGATGTGTCGCAAAAACCTTGAAGCTCCACGCGTGAATCATTAATTTTAGCTTCAACCCATCTTGGAATGCGTAAGTTAGTGATGTAAACCAACTCCGCCTGGTAAGTATTCCATTCATCTAGTAATTCTTTTGGTAGTTCCTCGTCCCATCCTATACCGGCTAGCCACAACTTTTGTATCAGGACCTCGGCTATAATAACGCAAGGTGCTGCCCAACCTAAGGGGTCGAATAAGCATGAGATGTTTGACACCACCCTCCTTTTTGTAATAGGTTCCTGAATTTTAGGTATTTGCACAGAGTACTTGAAAAAATCAGATTCCTTGTCCCACGAAAGTCCTAACACCTTTACTATGTCGTCCATTCGTATGTCTCTCTTTTCCTCCTGATTTTCCGTTTTGTCCATCACTATTGCTGCTAACTCCTCATTGTTGGTCATCCATTTTTGCAACTCAAAACCTCCTCTACTCAACAACCTCTTCATATACTCAAATTTCTTTTTCCTTCTTCTACTGTCTGACATCCTGTCATTAAATCATCAACGTAATAATCTGTTTTTATTTTTTCAGCTATATCAGGATACTGCGTCCCGTCATCTACTGCGGGCTGCTGCAGAGTCTTCACTGGGAGGTAAGGAGCCGAAGCAGTACCCAAGGTAACTCTATCTAATACATATTCTTTGATTTCAGACCCTGGATCGTCTCTCCAAACGAGTCTCTGGTATTCTGCATCTTGCTTGGCAACGCATACCTGGCGTTACATTTTAACAACATCTGCGCTCAGGCAGATCGGGTGCATACGCCACCTCATGACAATGTGACGTAAATCTTGTTGAAGAGTTGGTCCGACCATAAGGGTATCATTAAGTGACACTCCATTTGTTCCTTTGCAGGAAGCGTCGAACACGACCCTGATCTTTGTTGTCGATTTATCTTCGCGTATCACTGCATGATGAGGTAAATAAACAGAGTCACGTCTGTTATAGTCGTCTTCAGGTACACATTTCATGTGTCCAAGATATAAATATTCATGAATTACTTCAGTATACCTAGGTATACTGAAGTCTAGACTTCATCACAGGATTTTTTTTTAATCGTTGTTCAAGTAGGTGGAATCTTTTAAGAGCAATGTCTCTGGAATTGCCGTATTTAAATTGTGGATCCTCATCTCGGAAAGGAAGCCTTACGACATACCTTCCGGTTGAGTCTCTTTGTGTTGTTTGAGCAACTCATTGTCTTCTATATGAGAGTGCATATTTATGATCCTGTTATGATAACAAGGTGTGGATGGAGTATGACTAAGCTGCTGGTGTGTAGGACCTGAAATAATCCATCCTAAGGCAGTGTTTTGAGCTGTAGGTGTGCCATTAGGACCTCTGATTAAGCCATCTCTCATCACCTGTCCATAGACATCAGCCCCAAGCAGAATGTCTATGTTGTTTGGGTTATTAAATTGTGGATCAGCTAGAGCAATATCCGCTAGCTCCGGCCAATCGATTGGCGCTATCTTCTTACACGGAAGGAGGCTGGATATAGTCCCTAGTACGTGAGCCTGTACTAAGATACAAAAACTGGGATCATGGCGAGATTGAATGCTTATTTTGACCATATGTTTAGAGGCTAAAATGCTCTTATCTCCACCTAGTCCAGACACGTCACTTCTGTGAGGTATTTTTCTTAACCCTAGCAATTGCACTATATTTTCTGTTACAAATGATGCCTGTGAGCCCTGATCTAACAGGGCTCTTATCAGGCATGCCACGCCACTTCTTGTTTGAACATTAACAAGAGCGGTTGCTAATAGAATTTGATTGGTTGCAATTTGTTTTGAAAAATGTGCTGTTATGGTTGAAGCGTTTTTGGGACTTTCTAATGATGTCTTAATTTCAGACACCTTGGCATTGACTTCTACTGCAAGATCTGGTTTGGAACATCCATTACTTTGAGATTCTGAGGTAGGCTTAGGGTGCAGCAAAGAGTGGTGCTTATGTTTGCATATGCGACATTTATTGTTAGAACGACAAATACTGGCAGAGTGATTGCGGCCTAAACAGTTAAAGCAGAGTCTATTGGTTTGAACAAAATTTTGTCGATTTTCATAATCAATTTTACAAAATTTCTTACAGTTAGCGATTTTGTGGTCATCCTTCTTACAATATGAACAACTTTGTTTTCCAATAGCATTGGTGTTGGTAAAAGCGTACAATACTTTGGGCCTGTGGGTTGAAACATTTGATTTGGTATTTTGCCTAGTACCTAAAAACTCTAGAGACCTGAAACGAGATTCCAAATACTCACGCAATTGGCTCAACGTGGGTAATTCGTCCATGCTGCTAATTTCTACTTCTCAACCTTTACGGGATTCGGTATCTAATTTTGAGCAAATTACCTAAATAACTATAGCATTCCAAGTGTCTACATTTATGTTTAAAGTTTTTAAACCGTTCAATGTTTCATTCATTACATCTAAAATATCTTTTATTGCACTACAAGATTCGGTTACAATGTTAGGTAAATTCATAAAACTTCTCAGTAAACAGTTTACCAAGTACTTCTTATTATTATATCTACTGTTTAAGATTGACCAAGACTCCATGTAATTAGCTGCTGCAACTGGAATATGTCGCAGCAGTTGGTCTGCTTCACCGGTAAGATGGGCTTTAAGATAGAGATAGAGATAGAGAGAGTACATTTTCTGAGCGTTATCAAATGTTGAATTATTATGAACTAATGACACATATAAATCTTTAAAGATTATCCAATCCGAATATGCACCAGAAAAATTGGGAATGGAAATTTTTGGCAATTTTACATTGTTATCTATATTTTGAGAGATGTTAGTAGTAGCTGAAGAACTAGATGTTGGTTTTACTGAGGCTAAATATTCTTTTAATTCTGATTTATAATTAATATATGTTTCTTTAATTACTTCGTACATGTCATGTGTAAAATATCTATTTTCGAGTAAAGCGTCCTTTGCTTCTGCCGTTAATTTTCTATGTGTATCATTAACTATGTTCCATTGAGCTTCCAGCGTTTCTAATCTAGTTTGCAAGTACGATTCTTTTAATAATCTGTCTTTAGGAGGCTTTTTAAAATTTTCATAAACCTTTTCTATAATTGATTTTGAACCAAGCTGATTCTTAATTAACGATGCCAATATAGATTGGTTAAATTTAAACAAACAAAAAAATTACAAATGGGAAATGAATGGAAGTTTTATTCTATTCTATTATATCTATTAAGTCTAAGACAAAAATTTTTACAAGTGTTTGAAACTTGGTATATTCGAAAGAATCGGGCGTAGGTTCCCCGTTCGTTCACTTTTAGCAAAATGATTATAAGTTAATATACCATGCAAAATTTTACAAGTTCACTTTTGTTACTACGCAATTTAAAATCTTAAAAGTCCAAAATTTCCATTAAATAGGTTTTAAATTTTCAACTTGTTGCACTGATGTTTGAACACAAAATTGTACTCACAGTTTTATCTTCAAACCATTGATTCCACTTTAGTTCCGCAGTTGATCACCTTCGCTGTTGTCTTCGATTTGTGTACGTAGTTTGTGACGTTAACGATTACGTCACTGCTGTGCTGTCACGATGTGATTGAATGAGATGTTATGATGACATCATCGTCGTCGCTGTTGCTCCTCGGTTTGTGGCTGCAGACTTCGTGCTTGCTTCTGGCACTACAGCACACTTAACCAACTGGTGAAACGACCTAGTGCAGTCGTTCACCAGTGCGCACCTTCAGAGGCGGTCCACCTCTGGTATCTAGTGGGAGTTCGCGAAAGGACGGATGGTTCACTTAGATCTGAATTCGAAGGACCATGAACAGGTTCCTCCCGGATTTCGATACTTGCACTCGCGTTAGGTAAATAAAACACGGGAGTACGATAGTGAGAAAGTCAAATTTATTAAATTAAAGTGGACCCTATGTTAAATTACAATAATACTATGCTAACACGCTGTAACTTACGACTAGCACCATCTAGATACGGCGGATGAAAAAATTTTGACAAATAATAAATTACACTATGATTTTTGGTTCAACACTAGTTCTTTTCAAAAAGAATACTAGCAGTGCTACACTATTACTATTCCCTTTAACCACCAATCCTGTTATCTATCACAAGTCTGCAAGGGTTTGGGCAAAGCATATTTGATTATATTTACCATTATTTTTATTTATTTATTTATTTAATCTTTAATGCCCAAAGTTGTACATATGGCGGACTTAATGCCATAGGGCATTCTCTCCCAGTCAACCATTAGGCTAAACAGAGAAATTCAAATGCGGTGCAGCAGTAATCAAAATAGAAAGCGCTAAAAAAATTATTATATATATATATATATATATATATATATATATATATATATATATATATATATATATATATATATATATATATATATGTATATAAATATACATATACACATACATACATAAACATATATACTTAAATACACACAATATATACATATATAAATACATACATACACATATACGTGCATACACTACATTTATACCTTATCATACACCTTATCAGGTGGTCACGAGACCCTCTTTAGTGCAGGTAGGGTGAGGTTGTTAGTTGTTGTTGGAGAAACATTTGTATAATCTTTATTCTCCTTCACATTCCAATAATTAAACTAACACAAAATTTGACTTTCAGTTATTACGTCGCATGATAAAACTATTCCTTTATTCTTGACTGTTGCTCATAACGCTCCACATTCTGGAAATGTGGGAGCTGCACTACAAGCGCCTCCCGAAGACGTTCGGACAATGCGTCATGTTGAATCACCACAAAGGAGAATTTATGCTGGTAACAAGACTTTCGTTTTAACATACGATGGACTACATATACAATTAAATTTTATACCTTCTACAAATATTAATTCATTTTAGCAATGGTGAAAAAACTGGACGAAAGCGTTGGTGAAATTGTTCAGTCACTTTTAGATAATAAGATTTTAAACAATACTATCATAGTGTTCGTATCTGACAATGGCGGAATAACATCAGGTGATTCTCCCAATTATGCATCCAATTGGCCTCTGCGAGGACTAAAATTGTCTCCTTTCGAGGGTGGTGTTAGAGTGAACGGACTACTGTGGTCTCAAAACTTAACCGATACTAGTCATTTATGGAAAGGATATATGCATGTCTCAGATTGGTTGCCTACACTTTTGAAAGCTGCTGGAGCAGAACCACCTTTAAATATAGATGGATATGATCTTTGGGAAAATATAATTAATAACAAAGAATCGAAAAGGAATGAAATATTCGAAATAGATGATTTTACGGGGTACACTTCTATTATTTCTGGTGATTATAAACTAGTGACAGGATCTGTCATTGTTGATTATAGTAATCATCAAGGCGGTGAACTTAGAAGAATAATTGGAAGTGCTCCATCTTATACTGATACTCTTAAGAAAAGTACCGTTTACAGAGTGCTTAGTGACATAGGAACACCTTTTAATTTTGAAAATGTTATGCTAAGAGAGGATATAAAAGTTACTTGTAATAAAACTGGAAATCAAGAAAATACTTTGTGCTACCCACAAATAAGTAAGTTGGAAACAGCTCAAAATAATAAAATAAATTCTTTTTAACTTATTTTTGTAAAATTCTTCTCTATTTCTATTCTACACTTGAAGCTTTGAATATCGATTCCGATTTGACTTTTTGCGGGAGCTTAGGCTTTTATTTACCATGACTCATACTATAAATTATTTATATCCTTTAATTGTATTTTACAGGTCGGTGGTGCTTGTACAATATAAAAGAAGATCCATGTGAATTTAGAGACATATCCGCAGAAAATCCTGAAATCATAACAAATATGTTGATACGTCTAGAAATGGAAAAGCTAAGAGTTATACCCAGGAGAAAAACTGTTTTAAGGGATCCTAGATCATCTCCGCGTTTACTTAATTATACTTGGGATGTTTGGGCAGATAATATTATGCCTAGTAATTTATAATAAACACGCAATTATTTTATAATAATAAACATAATTGTTCGGTATTCTGAATTTTATTTAGCAGCATTTAATTACCAATTTAGTTGGAACTATCCTTCCATTATCCTCCTCCCTAATAGATTGCCTTTAAAAAGTAATTTTGCCATAATTGCCAGCCTTGACAGGTGGGTTAGTAATCGCAATTTTGTATTTATTTTCTATTATTTTGTTATTAGTGAGACGCTCCTGTCCATCTCCTGTTTTATTTCCTACTGTGAACTCTTACGACATCTGCAGGACGATATGGGGTAGTGGATATTTTTAGACTGCCACTACACGGTAATTAAATATAAATAAATGTTTTATGTTAGTTAAATGATATAAAATGCATAAAATAAATGTTTTCTGAAAAGATAAATGTAATTTTTATAATGCATACGCTAATTTGTAACGAAGTTTTGCGACAAGCATTTGTTTCAAGAAATTATTAGATCGGAAAATTTTTACTTTGAATATATTAAATTAAAGGTAATGCGTTGGAAATTTAAGTAAAGCATGCGGTTATACTTAAAATAATTACAATGGATATAATGAAAGACTTGCAATGGAAGACTTGTTAAGAGACGATTGCATACACTATTTCTTATTTTTTGTTTTAGTCAAAAAGAAAAGAAAACAGTTACTTTGTTTATTATGACCGTAAAAAGCAACATAATATTATATAAACCGGGCCCAATACTCATTCAACATACAGTAAGTATTCATATGCGGTATGTAATTAACAATAAGTGTTTTTATAAATCAGCTGCATACTCGATAATATATGCGACTTTTAGGATAGGAATTTTGGAATTATAATTTTTTAACTCTATATAGAGTGTAACTTTAACTTAGTGAATATATTGAACTTATATTTAGTTAACAATTTTTTTATAGAATAAGGGTGACATACGAGCACGCAGTCCACCTGACGGTAAGTAAATGCTGTGGCCCATAGACATCTAGATTTATCCCCAATTAAAAATCCAAATGTAGATGCGTTGTCACCCCTGAGGACTAAGATGAAATTCCATATTCCCCGGTCTTTACACTCACCACACGAAGCACATGCATTAAGCTGTTATTTTATGATGGTATTCTGTGAGAGCGTGGTCTTATCCCATTCGAGCTGACCCTTTCGTGCTATAACTACAGAATAAATAATAATACAACAAACAACAGAAGACTCACTGTGTGATAGCAAACTTGCGAGTTTAAACCTAGTTACAACGTTGCTAATGTTCGTAATACGTCGAAACAAAAATTAATACGGCGCGCGTATAGAATCAAAATGCACCTTACGTCCGCGTGCGAGTGTCTGTATCACTTAGCCCGTTACGCGCCTTTGTTAAGACCGCTTCTACTGTAGAATTAGGTGTTGTGGGAAAACAAATTGAATCAAAATTAACAAAAAATTACTTTGCGTATATTTTTTTGTTATTACAATTTTTTGTTAAATTTAATATAATGGACTTCCGCAAAGTAACGCCTGATTCTATTAACAAATTGAATTCTTTGATATTATTTGCTATATAGTAGAATACACCGAGGTGTTATGCAATGTATTAGTATTTTTTATTGTGTAAAAAAAATACAACCCATATAAATTTGATCAAGTTCTTACCAGTTTTTGAGTTATCTTTAATAATGCGAATTAATATTGAAGACGGTTGTACAAAATTTTTAATTTCATTAGTTGTCTCTCTTCCTCTCTTTTTAAAAAACACACTAGGATTTTTCCCTGTATCGCAGGTACAGCTTACATACATAGAACAGATCCAGAACAATCATATCGATCAAGTGTTAAACACATAACCACCATATGGGAGGTCTACTTACACTGAAGAAATTTTAAAGGTCATTGGCATTATACGCGAAAAATATCGAAAATTGCGAAGCTGTGGTCGGGTCACTAATCAAATAATAAATCTGTAACTATGGCGTCAGTAACTTAGTACCTAATTATTTAGATCTACCTATAAATAATAATATATTACCTTTCGGTATCCTTAGGAACAGTAAAAAATGAAAAGTCGACATACCTATTGTTGTTTAAGCACCCGTATGATATGCCTTTTGGCTTTTTGAGATACCAGACTTGAATAAAACTCAAAAATAAATAGGTATCAAAAGTGCCTAAATACTTATTAGAGAAAAATATTTTTTTATGTTAACGTAAGGCGCGCATCAGATCGAGCGGGCGCGTGACAACCTCACGGAATTAGCCCCGCATGCTTACCGCAGGCTTTACCACGTAAATCTATTTTTGTAGCATTAAAAGTGGCTGATAGGTTTCACTTAAATTTTCATACCTAAGAGTGATACAATCTACAGTTTGCTGTATAGTGCTGCAGTAACAATATCCAATACCCCGTATCATCCCAAGTGTTTCGTAAAAGGCGACAGAGGGAAATACCAGAAGATGGGCAGCAGCGTCTTTTCAATAATAATTTAAAAATAAAAATATAAACGGCCTTCAGCCGCCGTCACGACTAAAGTCCTAAAAACTTTCAGCGTGCATAACAAAATCGTTTTCAGTGCCTGGAAGTTTGCAATATAGTGGACGATATAAACGACAAGCTCGTCGTCACTATCCATGCTATAGAAATTAAGTTTGGCAAGGTCCATCGCAGTAGAACCAAAATTCTCTCTCTAATCAAAGTCTTCTCCGTTACATGCATATTTGTCCAACACGAAGTAAGCGTGCTACATTTGGTGTAAAAAAGTTATTTAATTTGATACGTTTTTGCTTGTTATCAGGAAATAAAGGATCTTAATAAAAGCGAAGCTGATGAAGAATCTAAATTAACAACATGCATTTCACATTATTTTAAAAATATTATATTTACCTATAACACGAAAGCTCGAGTTTTTCACGGCAAATATATTATATACATTATAGTATTTTTTATCTCGATTAATATACAGTATTATAAAATTCTTTCAATTAAGAATTTAATTGAGTATGTCATGTATGCGCATATTTTTTCCGAGCATATACTATTTTAATAAGTATCAATTGTCGCGTGTTAAAATTGTGTTTAAAATACGATATTTAGCTAATCTGGTCTTTATGTCATTGCTCACGGCGGATAAAACTGCAGTCAGCAGACAGCTTACAGGCAACTGAGCAGATAGTTCTCTAAAGGCATGCGGAAAGACTTACGCGCTTCAATAGAGTTCGTATAAAAAAAGGGATAGAACGGAACCAAACTACAACGTTTTTGCCAGAGATCTGTCTGCCGGAAAGGGTCATCTGTCTTAGTTGAAGACCGATCGCAGCAGCATCATTTTCGGACCACCTGAGACTTTGAGTAAGATTAAGAGATTCTATAGACAGCTGTTCATATTAGCGTTGAAGCCTCAAGCAATAAAAATTTTAATTTATAAAGTTTCGTCGAAATTTTGGCTTTGCTTTAATGCCTTCAGCTACGACGTTGCCAGTTTGATTGGCATTATCTCGAAGTCCTGAAGTGTTTCTTTAGTTAAGATACGATGACTATCCGAATAAAGAATCAGAGTACGATATCTATCTAAACTACAGAGAGGTGAAAGACAAGGTGACGTTAAATCCTCGAAACATTTTAATGCTGAATGGGAAGACAATTTTAGGTTTTTGGACTGGAAAACAAATATATATGGATATGAACATCATTGGCAAGTACATCACTCACCTTTAATTTTGCTTTTTTTTTCGTACAGTCATTATAGCAGAATCGCTGGATAACCTTGGCACTATGCTTAGTAATTACGTCCAAAGTATCTCCTATCGGACGGGTCTCAAGATGGACATGGACTGGACAAAAATCTTAGAAGAATGTGTAACGTCCATGTCACACCTATGCCAATCGTTAGGACGCTGGAAGTTGTGGAAGAGAATGTTTATCTAGGACAAATTGTCCCAGTTTAATGAGTAGGGTAAAGGTGCCTAATATCAGATGGTGCATTATGTGAATGTTCATTTACTTGTTGTTAGCGACAGCGGTATTGTTTGGTCAGTTATTCGGTCGCGTTCAAACATGGACCATTTGGTACCGGCAAACAGGCGACAAAATACACCTCGACTTTAGTAGGGAACGGATATAAATTCTTTTTGTGCTCAATTGCAAGGTATGTATATCATTAAAATAGGTACATTTAGATTAAATATAGATTTGTGATATCTGTTAAAGAATATATTTTAATATTCCAATTCATTTTGTTGTGTTTATTACATATTACAACAAATATCACATTTGATTATGTTGGGTTTATAGTGAGTTCCTTATATGAGACACCAGTGGGCTCCCGATATACCTGGTTACACGATGATCCCGGACATGTTTTGGCCAACAAAACCTAAGATTTTCCAAACAGCATAAATCTGTATGCAAAAGTAAATACAAATGTATGATGTTTGAAAAAGCGTACGAAAAATCAGTAACTACTGTTAACTCTGTTATTGGTTTCAGTAACACAGCTGACTTATTATTCTTAATAGAAATAAACACCGATTGTTATGCTAACGAATAATTAAAGTCAATATGACTGTATTAATTAATTGTATTTTACATTTAAATGAGATCAAAAGTGAAGTTACCTAAAATAAGACATATCTCAAATTAGTAGCCCTAAGTCTGAGCAGCGTTCGGGAGATACCGACACATCGTTTTCCCGTCAAGTATACCTCAAAACATTGTACAACCTGTAACAAGCATTGCCCATTAGAGTAGTTGTTTACATCACTCCATTAATACTAAAGACTCTATGGTCAAGTCGTATTATGCCTGTGAGAATAATCGATTATGTTCCACTCGATTGTGTTAAAGTGACGTCAAATATTGTCTGTGGATTAAAAGTTAGCTCTTAACAGTCGGGATCATTCAGAGACGAGCCGCCGGAGTGACAAGAAGGTTTGTGATATATTATGTTATTTTGTTATACTTTAGCTTTGATTTAGTTTACTAGAAATAAATATTGTTATTGTATTGATTAATTCCTTTTATTTATAATTCTGTGATTCACTTTTGAGATACCCTTACATACCTGAGACGCGGTCCTCCAACGCTGGTCAAATGAGGAAGCTTAAAGTCCACACATATTTATAGTCCATATAGCTCAAAAAACCGACAACCGATTGTGAAGATAGTTGCTCTTGCAACTTTGTAACCGTGGCGTGGTCCTTCCCCGGTCTAGCCGACCCGATTCATGCTACAACTACACTACTAATATAGCTGCAGCATGGATCTACCACGTAAAAATGTTGAATATATACTATTCTATTCTATTCTGTTTTATTTTATTCTGCAATAAGGCGTGCTAAGATATTATATAATATTTCCTTAATTTATTAAAACGTTTTTTAAAATATTTTTAAAATATCCACTACCCCATATCTTCCTGTGGGAGTCGTAAGAGGCGACAATGGGAAACAGGCAGGAAATTGGCAGCAGCATCTTCCTGATAACAGCAATATTACAATAAAAAAACTGCGGTTGCCAACCCACTCGCCTAACTTGGCAACTATGGCAAATATCCCTCCATGATGAAAGTTACGAAGAGACCACCCCCAGTCCCCGGCAGCCCCGCTATTCCTGACTACGGTGGCGACCATGGTAACGGCGGGGCAGGGGGTGCTAAGAATCTCCGGTAGAGGTTCGGTTGCCACCTAAGACGACTCGAACTGGCAACATCCAACGCCCGCACCTTAAGGACTGACGAGAAGATCCTGGAGCGGAAGAAATAAAAGGAATCATCATCATCATCATTACAACCCTTCACAAGTCCACTGCTGAACATAGGCCTCCCCCAAGGAATGCCACAAAGCACAGTCTTGAGCCACCAGCATCCATCGACTTCCTGCATGTTTTACCAGGTCGTCACTAAATCTAGTGGGGGGACACCCTACACTTCGCTTACCGGTACGAGGCTGCCACTCGAGAACCTTTTTTTCCTATCGGTTGTCGATTCTTCGAGCTATATAGCCAACCTATTTCCGGGTCTATGTATATGTCACATCTATGCCGGTAGTTGTTGGGAGCACTAAGCTCGAAGTTGTTGACGAGTATGTTTACCTGGGACAAATAGTCTGACTAGGTAAGTCCAACTTTGACCGAGAGGTCAATCGACGGATTCAACTCGGCTGAGCAGCATTCGAGAAACTACGACACATCTTCTAGTCAGGTATACTTCAAGACCTGAAAACGAGATTGTACAACCAGGTGCGTGTTGCCAGTGATGACTTATGGATCTGTGACGTGGTCCTACACTGCGGGCTGTATGAGGACGCTCAAGGTCGCTTAGCGAGCTATGGAGAGGGCTATGCTCGTGGTTCCTCGGCGTGATATACTTAGAAATGAGGAAATCCGCAGTAGAACCAGGGTAACCGACGATAACGATAGCCCAACGGATTAGTAAGCTGAAGTGGCAATGGGCCGGCCATATAGCCTGAAGAACCGAAAACCGATGGGGAAAAAAGATTCTCGAGTGCAGCCTCGTACCGGTAGGCGAAATGAAGGGCGACCCCTCCCTAGATGGAGTGACGACCTGGTAACACATGCAGGAAGTCAATGGATGCATGTGGCTGAGGACCGTGCTTTGTGGCATTCCTTGGAGGAGGTCTATGTTCAGCAGTGAACTTGTGAAGGGCTGCAATGATGACGATGACGATGATGATGATTCAATATGAGCACTAACAAATTATTTATTTATTAATTTTCTTTTAAATTCGGTTTCACGAATAATATTAACGTCAAACAAATATGTATATTGTATTATGTGTGAAGGCTTAACAGAGCTTACCCTTAACTTGTGTTTTGTAAAATCACCATATGTCATTAAAATTGTTTCACCACATAATATGTACTAACATACATTGGTGGTAGGGCTAAAGTTATATCTTAAATAAATAAAATGGACTTTAACTTCGACAAAATGTTCAAAATAATGATATTTTCCTTTCGAATTAATAGATCGCATCCAGATATTCCAAGAGATAAGAAATGGGCGATGCAATTTTTGGCTATGCATGGCGCATTTTCTCTAATGTGTATTCTTTTAATTTACAATATTGTGTATCACGATCTCAAAAATAATGACTTCACCCAAGCTTGCTCTAACGGTATTTTGTGCCTTATATACGGCGTGGTTACATTTAAGTATTGTATAATGTTATCTTTTCAAAGTTTATTGAGGGATATGTTCGAAAAAATTAAAAATGATTTCCGTTTGGCCACTGAAATACCCGCACATGAACAGAATATATTACAAAAATATGCTCAAAAGGGAAAAGTTGTTACTAAGCTTTGGTTTTGGCTATTTTTTGGCACAGCCGTTGTATTCCCAATAAAAACTATAGTGGCTATGTCGTATTACGCAATTTCAGGTGCATTTAAGTACGTTCATATTTATGACTTAACATACCCATCGCAAATAGAAGAAGTAAAAAATGAGCTTGAACCGTATATAGTCCTTAATATATTTTTTTTATTCTACGCTATGTACGCTATGTTTATGTATATAGGATTTGCGCCTATGGGGCCTATTTTTATACTTCATGCTTGTGGTCAGTTGGAAGTCGTAAAAAACCGAGTATTAGGAGTTTTTTCAGGCCTACAATTTAATTCAGGAAAGTCCATGAGTAAACTAAAAGATGTTGTGGTACAATTACAGAAAATATACAGGTACTTAATTAAAACACGTTTTTATTTATGAAATGCTCTTTTTTTTTTCAAAAGTTACTAATTTTTTCGTCGACAGTTTTGTGGATGACATTGAAAAAGTCTTTGGTATTGTATATGAACTAACTTTAAAAGCAGGGGCAGTTATTATTCCTATTACCGCGCACCAAGTTATACAGGTAAGAAATTATTAACTACATTTCAGTCAAGAATCACAATATTTTTCAAGTTGTTATTGTCATTTACTTAAACAAATTGTACGTGGTAGAGCCATGCTACAGCTATATTAGTAGTATAGTTGTATCATGAATGGGTCGGCTCGACCGTGGAAGGGCCACACTCTCACAGAATACCAGCGTAAAATAGCAACTTAATGCTGCTGTGTTTCGTATGGTGAGTGTAGAGAACCGGAGACCCTTTTTACTGGAAAAGAGGCGTTTCATCTTGGTCCTCACGGGTGACAACGCATCTGCATTTTGATTCGCAAACGAGGATAGATGTAGATGTCTATGGGGCACAGCAACCACTTACCAACAGGTGGACTGTGTGCTCGTTTGTCACCCTTATCCTATAAAAAAAATCATTTCTTAGAATCAATCATCACATGAGAATGCTCATGGATGTATGGAATCCCGTAACATGCTGCAACAAAATCAAACTTTGTTTATAGACTAAACTGATCATATTAACTCCTACAAACTCCTACTTTTTGAAAAAAAAAAACCGTGTTTCGGATTATTTTATAAATTCGAAAATAACCTAAAAACTAGGTCTATTTTTCCGACGCTACCAAAGACCTATTTTAAATAGACACATTAAATACGAACAAACATAATTGCTCTAAAAACAGCGTAGTCCACTAGTAATAGTAAGAAGTCCCTTGACGAGAGAGAGCCTATTACTTTTAGATAAACTTTTTAGCACGGAGAAAATAACTCAGAACTGCCTAAATCTCCCTACCATGTAAAGCGGCTACGGCGCTTCTTAAATTGGTTCATATCTATCAGTGGACTTCTTGGGACTATTAAAGAAGAAGAAGAACGAATTTAGTTTGTTATTTAAATAATTTCATATTTTGTATTGCTTAATTTTTCAGAGTTTTCATAATGGCCAAATAAGTATAGAGTTTATAACAATTGTTTTTGCAGCAATAGCACTTTGCAGTATACCTTGCTATTTTAGTGATTTACTAGTGGAAATGGTAAGAAAACGACTTTATTTAATATATTATATTTTAAAATAAGAATCAAATCAGAGTTATTCTATAAGTAAACTGCTTATCTTAAGAAAAAAGTGAATTAGGTAGTGGAGCTTGCTTGCTGTCTAAGAGTTCGCCTGAGTTAGTAACATAGTATTATTTAATTAATTCGCCAAATAGCATTTTGCCCAGTTGCTATCATAGCATGGCTGTAAAACAAAATATATAGCAGCATCATGTATGGATGCTCTGCTATTTGATAGAAAAATTAGATAAGATAGCGGTATTAAACAAGACACAATCATTAGCAAAGAAGTAAACCTGCCACTTGGTTAGACACTGAGTCAGTTTAGATATCAATTTTTATTTTTGCTCTTTTATGTATAATTGCTACATAAAATGGTGGAATAATTTTTTATTGAAGTTTGTTAGTAAATTTATTTCTCATTTCATAACATCGTTATAATATTGCACGCCTCGTAACGCGAAGCGTTATTAGGTAGTGCTTTACTCAAGGTCAAGCAATTTTGTGTTCTTGAAATGCCTCTATCATAACCATATTTCTCTTATAAGATGTTATGAGTAGCCATAAAAAATCTAATTTACTTATGTTACTTAAAAAAACGGGGTGAAAAAAATATTACGTGAACATATCCGGACGTTGATTTTATATGTGGTCATGATAACTTCCGAAAAAATAGACGTATCGAGACTGAGTTTTTTTATTAGCTTATGACTTACATCTATTGGTTCTCTATTTCATATCAATAGTACACGAGCTGTGTCTCGCCAGCATCACAAAGTCAGGAATTTGCATTTAGTAAAGCCAAAATTAGGGGCTTTTTAGGTGTTAATTAAGTGCTCTAAAATTTTCACCACAACGAACTGTTGAAATTTGCGTTGCTGGCAAAACTTATCACTAGCAAAGCAGCGACGATAATAGATATACGATAAATATTGAGTACTAATTAGGTGCTGCAAGTGTAGGCAATGACAGGTTATTCAGAACAAAGCAGATGCAAAAATCAGGTTTTCTGAAAATCAGAATACAATCAAAATTGCATTTAGAAAACGCCGAAATTAGTGGCTTTTTAGGTGCTAATTAGGTGTCAAGTTTAAAAATTAGGTGCACTAAAATTTTAACCGCAACATTGTTGAAACTTGCGTTGCTGGTAAAACATATCTTCTTCTGGTGCCTCTCCGACTAACGAAGGTTCGCAGTCAGCTTAGTGAACTCCGCTCTATTCTTCGCGAGGTGAAACAGTTCGGCGGCATTCGCGATTCAGAACGCCTTGACTCCACGTAGTCTTGTCTGCCCTGCCTGTTTGTAAAGTGTTTTTGTAAAGTCGTAGGCGTGGAGGGAGAGTAGCCTCCGCCCACTGTAGCAAATCGCAGGCATCTGTGTGAGCCGTAGCGACTGAGGTTGAGGCTTTCCCAGAACGCACCCTCGGCCCTCTCCCACCCCCGTATGCAAGTACCGGATGTATATAGTTTTACCATTTTCAGAAGATTTTCAGAAGACCTGATTTTTGCATCTGCTTGTTCTGAATAACGACTTTACTTTTATTAGGGGTGCCTTGTCATTGCCTATACTTGCAGCACTTAATTAGCACTTAATTCATTGCTATTAATTTTTATCGTATGTATATCTATCATCGCCACTGCTTTGCTAGCGATACGTTTTACCAGCAAAGCAAATTTCAACAGTTTGTTGCGTTGAAAATTTTAGAATAAGCCCCTAATTTTGGCTTTTTCTACAGACTTTTAACAGTGGTAGAGCCAAGCGGTAGCTTTTGCTGTCGCACGAATGGGCCAGCTCGAACCGGGGTGGTACCACGACCTCACTGAATACCAGCGTGAAGTAGAGGTTTACCTCTGCGTTGCGCTTTGTGAGTGCAGGTGGCCGGAGGCCCAATTCCCCCCCCCCCTCCCCCGCCCATCAACATGGTAGTGGAATTAAATAAAAGACTACCCCAGGAGGGTACAAGCACCCCTGGAGAATCCCTTGCTGAGCATCCACGACCAAACTACTGAGCGTGGGTGCTCAGGCTGCCCCGCGTATTCTGGGGGGGGGGGGGGGGGGGGGGCAAAATTCCGCTCGCGACTAATGCTGCTCGGGGCAAGCGGAGCAATACAACCAAGGCGACGCCTGTCACGCTATCCTTGAATTTTTGCAACATCAGGGGACTTCATTCCAACCTTAACGCCGTCCACTACCATCTCGAGACGGCGAAGCCGGCCTTGCTCTTTCTGACCGAGACGTAGGTTTCCTCTCCGGCTGATATTTCGTATCTCTCCTACCCGGGGTACAAATTGGAGCATTCCTTTGTGCCTCGGGCTGGAGTTTGCGTGTATGTCAGAGAGGATATCTGTTCTCGACGCCTCGGCAGTCTTGAAGGTTCGGACCTGTCCATCCTTTGGCTGCGCGTAGACAGCGACGACCATCCCCGCGTCTATGGGTGCCTCTATAGGTCTCATAGCGGTAATGCCGAAACAGACCGACTCATCGACCACGTCCAAATGGCTACAGATTTCTTGCTACAACAGGTCCCATCCGCAGAGATCGTGATCCTTGGCGATTTTAACGCCTACCATGCCGAATGGCTCGGTTCACGTCTAACCGATCATGCGGGGAGATCTGTTTATGACTTTGCCTTGGCATATGGTCTGACACAACTGGTTACTTCGCCTACGCGGATTCCAGATGTGGAGGATCATACACCTTCCCTGTTGGACCTTCTGCTGACCTCTCATCCGGACGGATATCAGGTTTCCGTCGATGCCCCTCTCGGCTCTTCGGACCATTGTCTGATCCGGAGTGTGGTGCCACTCACGCTCCCTTCGCGGTTGCGTTCTGCAGGTTGCCGCCGTGTTTGGCATTACAGGTCGGCGGATTGGGACGGGATGCGGTCTTTTTTTGCATCCTACCCTTAGGGGCGGGTTTGCTTCTCGCGGGAAGATCCCAGCGTTGTTGCCGTTCTGTTGCTGATGTGGTACTTCAGGGTATGGAACTTTTTATTCCATCCTCTGTGGTGCCCATCGGAGGCAGATCCCAGCCATGGTTCGGTCGCTCCTGTAAAATAGCATCACGCTATAAGCAGGAGTGCTACCGGGCCTGGGCTGACGCATCAACGTCTCGGGATGTAAACACCAGCGCACTTAAAAAGTAGTATGATTCCGCCTCCAGGTCCTTCAAAAGCGTCATTTCCAAGGCAAGGTCTGAGCACATCGGCAGAATTGGCGAGAAGCTAGTTCGCCTTTCTTCGGGAACCCGTGCATTCTGGTCTCTCGCCAAGGCTGTCCAAGGGAACTTCTGTCAGCCATCTCTTCCATCTCTGCACAGAGAGGACGACTCACTGGCCCATGCCGCAAAGGAGAAAGCCGATCTGTTGAGCTCTCTTTTTGCGTCCAACTCGACTCTAGATGACGGGGGGAACACACCGCCGACCATCCCGCGATGTGAGTGCTCCATGCCAGATGTGCGATTTACACAGCGCTCGGTTCGCAAAGCACTCTTCTCCCTGGACGTCAGCAAGTCGAGTGGGCCCGATGGAGTCCCTCCCATTGTGCTGAAGACGTGTGCTCCGGAGTTGGCACCGGTTTTAACGCGTCTTTTCCGGTACTCCTACTCTCAAGGCGTAGTCCCGAATTCATGGAAAACAGCTTTGGTCCACCCGATCCCTAAAAAAGGCGACCGCTCAGACCCGTCCAACTACAGGCCTATCGCCATCACCTCCTTGTTCTCCAAAATAATGGAATCCATTATAAACTGCCAGCTCATGAGGTACCTTGAGGATCACCAGCTGATTAGTGACCGCCAGTATGGTTTTCGTAGGGGTCGATCAGCTGGTAATCTTTTAGTCTACTTAACTCATAGATGGGCGGAGGCAGTAGAATCCAAGGGGGAGGCATTGGTCGTTAGTTTGGACATAACGAAGGCCTTCGATCGGGTCTGGCACAAAGCGCTTCTTTTGAAGCTTCCTTCCTATGGGCTTCCCGAGAAATTGTGCAAATGGATCACCAGTTTCCTTGCTGATCGGAGCATCAAGGTCGTAGTAGATGGTGCATGCTCTGATTTCAAGCCTATCAACGCTGGTGTTCCACAAGGTTGCGTGCTATCACCAACGCTGTTTCTCCTGCATATCAATGATATGTTGCTAACTGGTAGCATTCATTGCTATGCGGACGACAGCACTGGTGATGCCTTATATACCGGCCGTGCCAATATTTCTCGGGAAAACGTCGCCGAGTACCGGGACAAACTTGTGTCTGAAGTCGAGTCTTAGCTTAACAAAGTCTCGGATTGGGGCCGACTAAATCTAGTCCAGTTCAATCCCCAGAAGACACAAGTTTGCGCGTTTACCGCTAAAAAGAACCCCTTTGTCGTATCTCCTCAGTTTCAAGGCACTCCCCTTGCTGCCTCAGCCAGTATCGGAATCCTTGGCGTCGACATATCGAATAGTGTGCAGTTTCGTGATCACTTGGAAGGGAAGGCCAAATTGGCCTCTAAAAAACTTGGCGTGCTCAGCAGAGCGAGACGGTATTACATGCCGGCACATCGCTTGCAACTCTACAAAGCCCAAGTTCGGCCTCACATGGAATACTGTTCTCATCTCTGGGCCGGGGCACCCCAGTGCCAGCTCCTTCCACTTGACCGCATCCAGCGCAGAGCGATTCGAATCGTCGACGACCGAGTTCTTTCTGATCGGCTCGATACACTGGCACTGCGTAGAGATGTTGCATCTCTTTGCGTATTTTATCGCATTTATCACGGGGAGTGCTCTGAGGAATTGTTCGGACTAATTCCAGCCACTTAATTTCACCATCGCACATCGCGACAAAACTCACGTTACCATCCATACCATCTGGATGATTGGCGGTCCACCACTGTGCGATTTAGAAGAAGTTTTCTCCCTCGCACAACTTCCTTGTGGAATCAATTACCACCAGCGAATTTTCCGGACCGATACGACTTAGGAACCTTCAAGAAAAGAGGTTACACTTTTCTAAAAGGCCGGCAACGCATCTGAAATTCCCCTGGTGTTGCGGTTGTTCATGAGCGGCGGTAGTCACTTACCATCAGGTGAGCCGCATGCTCGTTTGCCCCCTATTCTATAAAAAAAGACTTCAAAAAGAGTATTCAATTCAACTGTATGTTTTTTTATGTGTTTACCTCAACTTTTTTCTGGATGAACCGATTTCGATGAATCTTTTTTTATTTGAAAGGTGGTGCTTCTGCTGTGATCCCATATAAATTTGATTTTTAAGTTATTCTTAAGAATTTATATTTTAACAGTGCTAGAGCCATGCGGCAGCTTTTGCTGTCACACGGATGGGCCGGCTGATACTGATCACTTTGATCTAAAATATTTCCTCTTTGGTTACGAATTTCAAATTCAAATTTATAAATTCAATTAGCTGGTACCTACTTTCGAGTTTTGAAAACAGTCATTCATTTGTGTTTTCCTCATTATTTTTTTCTTTGGCGCCGCTTATTACCGCACAATGGAAAACATGAGATATCGGTATATTTACGAGTACGAGTTCTACTGTGGCATCAGTGTTGCAGAAACAGCTCGAAGGATTAATGATATGTACGGCGCTGATGTCGCGAAAGAAAACACGGTATGTTTTTGGTTTCAACGTTTTCGTTCTGGAAATTTTGACCATCAAAACCAACCTCGTGGATGGCCGGAGACCAAAGTGGAAAATGAAGAATTAAAGGCTATTGTGGTAGCGGATCCATCACAAAGCACTTCAGAGATAGCTGCAGGCTTCGGGGTAAGTGACAAAACTGTATTAATCCACTTGAAACAAATCGGGAAAGTAAAAAAAACTTGAACGATGGCTTCCTCATGAATTGAGTGGATCGAATTTGCAAACACGCGTCGACCGCTGTGTTACTTTGCTCAACTGACACAATAATGAAGGGATTTTAAATCGAATCATTACTTGTGATAAAGAGTAGATACTGTACGATAATCGGAAGTGCTCGTCGCAATGACTGAACCCTGGAGACCCAGCCAAATCCTGCCCTAAACGAAAATTGACTCAGAAAAAGTTACTTGTGAGTTTTTGGTGGACTAGCGCCGGTGTCGTTCACTACAGCTTTCTAAAATCTGGCCAAACGATTACAGCAGATATCTATTGCCAGCAACGATGAAGGAAGAACTAGCTGCTAAATAACCGAGATTGCTCAATCGCTCTAGGCCACTGCTGCTTCACGACAACGTAAGACCACACACTGCACAACAAACAACCACTAAGTTAGATGAGCTACAATTGGAATGTCTGCGATATCCACCGTACTCCCTGGACCTTGCTCCAACAGATTACCATATTTTTCGGAATTTGGACAACTTCTTACAAGGAAAAAATCCGATGCGGCAGTCCAAACCACCTTCAAAGAGTTTATTGATTCTCGCCCCCATGGTTTTTCTAGTAAAGGGATCAATGAACTACCTATGAGATGGCAAAAAGTGCGGAGTTAACAACGGTGCATACTTTGATTAATTAAATATATTTTACAAAAAAAAAAATAGGTACTTTATATTTCTCCCGTACAAAACGATAATTTCATATGAACCTAATTTTAAAATTACAGTAAATAAAATATTAAAATATTTTAAAATACAGGAATAAAATTTATTTTTTTCATCAAAATTAAATGAAACACTCATCGGGCGTGCATTTTAGATAGATAGATTTTCCAAACTATTGTTTTTATATTATTTTATTAGTGCGTTAAATAACTTTTATTTATATTATATCTCTTCGATATAATACAATATATACGATATTATACATGTCTGCTCTTACCAATACGCTTTTAACAGTGGTAGAGCCACGCGACAGCTTTTGCTGTCGCTCGGATGGGCCGGCTCGAACCGGGGTGGTACCACGACCTCACAGAAAACCAGCGTGAAGTAGAGGTATACCTCTGCGTTTCGCTTGGTGAGTGCAGGTGGCCGCAGACCCTTTTTACTGGAAATGAGGCATTCCATCTTAGACCTCACGGGTGACAACGCATCTACATTTTGATTTGTAACAGAGGATAGATGTAGATGTCTATGGGCCGCAGCAACCACTTACCATCAGATGGACTGTGTGCTCGTTTGTCACCCTTATCCTATAAAAAAAAAAACGTCGGCTCAGTGAAGTGAATTTGTGGGTAAATATTTCAAGTTGCGTTTGATATACCATGCATTTAAAAAAAGGCATTAGAAACGTATTTATTTATTTATTAACAAAGGTAAGTAATGTAAGTCTTTATATAAATATCTGCTGGCAGGGAGAGAACGTGAGATTGGCGATATACTCATGCGGATGGGAAAAGAACTGGGACAAGGGTACGCGCTCAGTATTGATGATTCTTCTGGTGCGTGCGGCCCGGCCGTTTGCAATACGAACTATGTTCCGCAGAGTTTGTCTCGATGCACTGACTGATGTAAGATATAATTTTAATTCTCAATAGCAGAAACTATTAACAGTGCTCCTGTACCACCAAAAGTTTTTTCGTAAGTTTTCAGCAGTCTGGGGTATAATTTACGTTGTACGACTCGACTAATTGTATTTCTAGGAAATACAACAAGAAATCCCAATTCTAGTTTCAGAAATACACCAGGAAAGGTTCATTGTTAAAAATAGTAAAACTGTGAGAGCGGACGTTCAACTTGCTCTCTTGCTTACGCAATTAATCATTATCAGTAACAAGACATTGTAATGCACTATAAATTTCGGTATAGAGAAATTACAGTTAGACCACACCGCAATAAGTCCCCGCCACAATTACACGCAAGTTTAACTGTGAATAGGTACACTGTCCCTATCTTTGGGCATTTAGGGATTCACACACATACGCAAGGCGATTACGTTTGACCTCATGCAAGCTATCAGTTACTAAGGCGCCCTTTCGGCCAGCCATCATCTCCTATGACGACTTGGACCGTACAACTGTTCTTTCCAGTAAACACACAGACTCACAGCTCTTCGTACTTCTGTCCTCTGTACTCTGTTCGACCTTGACTTGACTTGAGCGGACGGGATGGGTGTGTCCTTTCGACCAGCTGCGTGGCATGGCCTGTACGAGATTGTGCCTTCGACCAGCTTCACGCTAACAACCTGACTGGATCAGACGGGTGTTTCCTTTCGACAACCGCAAGTGCTTGGCATGGACGGTACTGTCCCTTTGATTAGTGTAACTTCACAATTCATAAGCCTGAACCAGACGGATGTATCCTTTCGAACACGCATGGCCCGGACGACATTGCCCCTTCGACCAATTTTACACAAATCAAACACCAATTCTGCTGACCACACAATATTCAGAGCAAATTGTAACACTCATCAACACATGAGAACACAAAAACGAAACATTCTTCGCATAAGAAACAGCTATCTTTTTTCAAAATTACATCCTTGGCTAATCGTAGACAAATATCCAACTTACTCTTTTTAAGCAAATTATTAAATAATAGAATTAACTGCCCTCAATTGTGGAATAAGATAGAATTTCGCGTACCTCATAAGTATCCCCATTGGAGAATAATTCCTATTAGACCAACTCTTCGTAGAACGGTATTTGGCGCATATTCCCCGATCTGTAGGTTTAGTAAATTGATCAATTAACTTTTCTACGCATTTGATATTAATTCCGACTCACCTAACAAGCTCTCAAAAGAACTACCCGCACATAACGCAAATGTAATAGATTAAGTTTTTGGATTACTATTTATTTAACGTTTTAATTTGCTGTAAGTAGGTATGTATTATTCTAGATGTTTATTCCAGTGCATGTTGTAATCACTTATAATAGTTTGTAGCATTTAAAGTATTTATGTAAATTATGACTTTACCAATGTGTACAAATGTTGGTGATGCTTTAAGAAATTAATAAAAGCCACCCATTCCTTTCAATTCATAGCATATTAAAGTCGAATGTTTCCCCGGTACATAGCTAAAAATTTCGAACTTTAAAATGTACCCCATGTAAATAGTATTTCGCATGAACTATAAAATTATAACATAACTCGAGCAGTTTAAATTTACACTGAATGCAAAACTATAACTCATCTAGGTACTTTCAAACATATTTGGGTTCATTGAGATGTTATAAAACTTCGACCTTTAATATAAATCGAACAAAAAGATTTTAGCCTTTGGCTTAAAACATTTTAGTTTAATCTTCTAGTTAATGGTACGTAAACTTCGTAAATAGGATAGCAAATTTCAAAATAATGAATTTCGCTATCCTATTTATAAAGAAGATTATATGTGGGCGATAACAGGGACTTTATTTCAATTCTGATGTCGGTAATACACCAGCCGGGCTATTCACAATCGTCTCGGAAAGCGAAATCGACTCGGATTCGATAACTTCTCGCACCGAAACCAATAAACGCTATTCACATTTAACGTTCGGATAAAGGTCACTTAGATATATCCTATAACTATTGTATCGTCATTTAGTTACATGCATTTACGAATTTTGTAGATAAATAGGCTTTTGTATTTTTTTAGAGTAACGCCTGAACAAAAACATAATGCAATATTTTGGTTTTAGCCATTGATATCGAATATAAAAAATATAATAAATAACAAAAAACTGAGATATGTCTCGTTTCACAAAACAGCATATATATATATATGCTGCTTTGTGACAGAAAACTTATAAAAACACACCTTTCACAAAATTCAGCTTTACGATTAAGTGCAAATATTGAAGTAATTATATGAAAATACGTCTTATAGATAATTGTAATTAATTTTTGTTACCTACTTTATAATTAAAAGGGTTTATTTATCTCTTCTAATCATTAATATTCGAAAAGTTTTCGCCAGCCTCAGAGCTCTCGTGAAGTTTCCGATGCAAACTGTCACAATTATCGAAAACAAACGTCAAAGAAGTACGGTCCCGCCCCATAGAAAAAAATCCAGACCCGACAGAAACGAGATATATCTCAGTTTTTTTTGTTATTTATTATATAGGTAAATTATATATTTTTTATATTCGATATCAATGGCTAACTCCAAAATATTGCATTATGTTTTTGTTCAGGCGTTACTCTAAAAAAATACAAAAGCCTATTTATCTATAAAATTCGTAAATGCATGTAACTAAATGACGATACAATAGTTATAGGATGTATCTAAGTGACCTTTATCCGAACGTTAAATGTGAATAGCGTTTATTGGTTTCGGTGCGAGAAGTTATCGAATCCGAGTCGATTTCGCTTTCCGAGACGATTGTGAATAGCCCGGCAGGAGAGGTTAATTGTTAAAAATAGTAAAATTGTGAGAGCGAATGTTCAACTTGCTCTCTCGCTTACGCAATCAATCATAAGACAGCGTAACGCACTATGAATTCAGTATTTGTATTTGCAATTATAGTGTGACCATACCGTAATATGCTCCCGTCACAATTACACACTAGTGTAACGTGAGAGATATAATTACATGATAACACCAAAGTATTCAAAACAACAGCAATACTACTTATCTCAACGAAGCACAGGGCAGCCTCTCAGCATCATCCAAGCATCATAATCAAAAAAGTAACAATAACACTAACGGCACCAATACACAAGAATTAATCACAAATAATTATTAGTTTTGTAAAATAAATGTTGGCTTGGACTGGAGTTGATATTAGAGACCCGTAACACCAAAAACTGTATTTTCTGAAAATTTCAACAAATTACAAAATATATTTTGATTGTTTTAGTTTTAAAACTAATTTCTATAATATTTTAATCTTGTTTCTTCTATATTTCTTTTAAAAAAGGAAACTAAAGTTTGCACGGTTTATGGCATATTATTAATAAACTTTGTATGGAAGTGAAAAGTGATTTAAATTTTCGTACTACTAAACAATATACAGTGTAGATTGCTAGCACTAACTAGTTGTTATAAAGTGATTATAATATTATTATATTTAAAAGGTTCAACGATTTTTTTTTTCTTGTTTCAGCTTTTTCATCAATCATATGCAATATTTAACCTATTAAATGCTACACGTAATTGAAACTGAATAAGTAAAATATTGTTATATCTAGTCTCATATACATAACTTTTAATACGTAGCAAAATTTAATAAAATAAAATATTCTCACTTTACAAGGAAATAAATGAATTATGACGTAGTTAATTGTGTTTTAATTACAATTCAGCTTGAAAGTCTAAAGACTCTATTTATTATACTACAATAGCAGCACGCTTATATGGTCAAAAATTCAAGTGGTTTTGTAGTGCATTTTCTACAGCTTACAGGTACAGCTGGCTCGGATGGTTATATGCGTTCATACCTCGAGTTCTAGGTCAATTGCCCTGTTCCTACACATATCAATAGTCAATATAAGTAAGTATTGTACATGCCTAAAATATTAAAGAAATTTTAACATTAAAGAATAATTATGATAGACAATATGAAAAAAATGTTTCGAACATTTAACGGCTTTAAAGTGATTATGTGTTTGACTTCGATGCTGCTGGCCATGAGCTCGAATTCCTTCGAAAGCGTTTTATGGGTGTTTGACCATATGTAATTTTTACAAGATAAACGCCGTTAATGTTACTCGTAGATAGCTCCCTCTTGAAATACAACGAAAAAAACAGTTTTTTTTTTCGTTTAATTAACACCCTGTACTATTATTCTTCTTTATTTGCCCGTAATAGGACAATACAAGTGCTGGACATTGGTATCTTCCGTATTTTTGAAGTAGGACGAATGCGCCCACTCTTTTTAAAAGGCCGGCAACGCACCTGTAATTCCCCTGATTTTCCAGAATTTTGATATATAGTTTTATTTGCGATTGACGTCTCCTTGGTTAAACTACATTGTTCTGATGAGAAATGCAAAATATTTGGACTCTATCTTCTACCTAATGTAATTTGGTTGACAGATTTCGAATTCATGGCATGTACAGAATATTTTCTCTTACATTTGAGCCTAGCTTAGCCCAGCTGATGATAAGCAGTTATGATAGCTCATTTACAACTTCAACTCTGATCTGGTTTTTAACTTTCTGGTTTGATTTTAATTTTATCTTGACCGTCGCTGATGCGTAACTGCTTAGTCCTGATCTTTTTAATCGATCTTTTTACTTTAGACTAGGCACCCTCTTACTGTGTTCTGTTGGTGAACATAGGCCTCCCCCAAGGAATGCTACAAAACACGGTCCTGAGCCACCTGCAACCATCGACTTCCTGCATGTCTTACCAGGTCGTCACTCCATCTAGTGGGGGGACGCCCTACACTTCATCCACCGGTACAAGAACGCCACTCGAGAACCTTTTTTCCCCATCGGTTGTCGGTTCTTCGAGCTATATGGCCGGCCCATTGCCACTTCAGCTTTCTAAAATCCGTTGGGCTATGTCGGTCACTCTGGTTCTACTGCGGATATCCTCATTTCTAAGTTTATCACGCAGAGAAACTCCGAGCATAGCCTTTTCCATAGCCCGCTGAGCGACCTTGAGCTTCCTTATCCGGCCAGCAGTGAAGGACCACTTTTTTATAGGAGAGGGGGCAAACGAGAATGCGGCTCACCTGATGGTAAGTGGCTACCGCCGCCCATGAACAACCGCAACACCAGGGGAATTGCAGATGCGTTGCCGGCCTTTTAAAAAGGAGTAGGCTCTTTTCTTGAAGGTCCCTAAGTCGTATCGGTCTGGAAAAATCGCTGGTGGTAAACTATTCCACAAGGAAGTTGTGCGAGGAAGAAAACATCTTCTAAATCGCACAGTGGTGGACCGCCAATCATCCAGATGGTGTGGATGGTATCGGGAGTTCTGCCGCGATGTGCGTTCGTGAAATTTGGCGGCTGGGATTAATCCGAACAATTCCTCAGAGTACTCCCCGTGGTAAATGCGAAAGAAAATGCAAAGAGATGCAACATTTCTTCGCAGCGCCAATGAGTCGAGCCGATCGGAAAGGACTTGGTCGTCGACGATTCGAGCCGCTCTGCGTTGGATGCGGTCAAGTGGAAGGAGCTGGCACTGGGGAGTCCCTACCCAGAGATGGGAACAGTATTCCACGTGACGCCGAACCTGCGCCTTGTAAAGTTGCAGGCGTTGTGCCGGCATGAAATACTGTCCCGCTCTGCTGAGCACGCCAAGCTTTTTAGAGGCCAATTTGGCCTTCTCTTCCAAGTGACCACGAAACTGCACGTCACTCGATATGTCGACGCCGAGGATTCCGATACTGGCTGAGACAACAAGGGGAGTATCTGGAAACTGAGGAGATACGACAAAAGGGTTCTTTTTAGCGGTAAACGCGCAAACTTGTGTCTTCTGAGGATTAAACTGGACTAGATTTAGTCGCCCCCAATCCGAGACTTTGTTCAGCAAAGACTCGACTTCAGACACAAGTTTGTTCCGGTTCTCGGCGATGTTTTCCCAAGAAATATTGGCAACATTTCAGTTCAATAGGTCATCACTAGCAACACGCACTGGTTGTACAGTCTCAAGTTTTGAGGTATACCTGACGAGAAGATGTGCCGTAATTTCCCGGACGCTGCCCAACCGAGTTGAATCCGCCGATTAACCTCTCGGTCGAAGTTGGACTTACCTAGTCGGACTATTTGTCCCAGGTAAACATACTTGCCAACTTAATGATTGTCCGAATTTCCAAGCTACACGTCTATCCCATACGATAACTTTAAAGCCAATTTTAAAGTACAACCCTTCTCCCTTGAAGAAGTTATTAAAAAGGAAAGTACATTGGAAACATTTCTACACCATATTAATAGTATAATAAAAAGCCTTAAGAAATTTAACGGAACATATTAATCTTAATTCATAATATGTAAAATAAATATTTATAAAACATCATCTACGTGGTAGAGCCATGCTGCAGCTATAGTAGTAGTATAGTTGTAGCACAAATGGGGCGGCTCGACCGGGGAAGGACCACGGTGTCACAGAATCATCATTACAGCCCTTCACAAGTCCACTGCTAAACATAGGCCTCCCCCAAAGAATGCCACAAAGCACGGTCCTGAGCCACCTGCATCCATCGACTTCCTGCATATCTTACCAGGTCGTCACTCCATCTAGTGGGGGGACGCCCTACACTTCGCCTGCCGGTACGAGGCTGCCACTCGAGAACCTTTCTTCCCCATCGGTTGTCGGTTCTTCGAGCTATATGGCCGGCCCATTGCCACTTCAGCTTACTAATCCGTTGGGCTATGTCGGTCACTCTGGTTCTACTGCGGATATCCTCATTTCTGAGTTTATCACGCAGAGAAACTCCGAGCATAGCCCTCTCCATAGCTCGCTGAGCGAACCTTGAGCTTCCTCATCCGGCCAGCAGTGAAGGACCACGTCTCAGTTCCGTATGTCATCACTGGCAACACGCACTGGGTGTACAGTCTCGTTTTGAAGTTTTGAGGTATACCTGACGAGAAGATGTGCCGTAATTTCCCGAACGCTGCCCAACCGAGTTGAATCTGTTGATTGATCTCTCGGTCGAAGTTGGACTTACCTAGTCGGAATATTTGTCCCAGGTAAACATACTCGTCAACAACTTAGTGTTCCCAACAACTACCGGCATAGGTGTGAAATGGACATTAAACATGATCTTTGTTTTGTCCATGTTCGTCTTAAGACCTATCCGTTGGGATACACTATTGAGGTCATTGAGCATAGTGCTTAGGTTCTCCAGCGATTCTGGCATGAGGACTATATCGTCGGCAAATCGAAGGTGAGTGATGTACTCGCCATTGATGTTAATACCGTATCCTTTCCGGTCCAGAAGCTTGAAAACATCTTCCAATGCAGCGGTAAAGAGTTTCGGGGATATGACGTCACCCTGTCTTACACCTCTCTGCAATTGGATAGGTTTCGTACTCTGGTTCTGTACTCGGATAGCCATCGTAGCCCTACTGTACAAGCACTTCACCACTTCAATATACCGACAGTCAATTTGGCATCTCTGAAGGGACTGCAGCACCGCCCAAATTTCAACGGAATCAAAGGCTTTCTCATAGTCCACATACGCCGGACATAGTGGCAAATTGTACTCCTCGGACTTCTGTACAATTTGCCGAAGGGTCTGTATGTGGTCTATGGTGCTAAAGCCTTTTCGGAAACCGGCTTGTTCGGGAGGCTGGAAGTCGTCAAGTCTGCGCGCGAGACGATTCGTAAAGACTCTCGAAAACAGCACGTAGACGCGGCTCAGAAGGGAAATCGGTCTGTAGTTCTTCAAGAGAGCGTTGTCGCCTTTCTTGAAGAACAAGACTACCGCACTTATGCTCCACGCCTCCGGTGTAATGCCACCATGGAGGACGGAATTAAAGAGCTTCTGAAGGACTTCAAGTACCGGTTTTCCACCCGCTTTCAGAAGCTCCGCTGTAATTCCATCCTCGCCTGGGGCCTTGCCGTTTTTATGGTGCTGGAGAGCCATTCTAATCTCGCTCAGACTGACGTCCGGGATATCATCGGAATAATGTCGGATAAGACTCGCTCTTGGATCGTTACTCACACATGCGTGCGGCTCCAACGATGACGTGTACAGCTGCCCATAGAACCTCTCAATCTCACTCAAAATCTCAGGTTCCCCGGAAACGATGCTGCCACATTCGGTATTCAGCTTTGACAGTTGGCTCTTTCTGGCAGACAGATCTCTGGCAAAGACTTTGGAGCCTTGGTTCCGCTCGATCGCTTCTTCAATACGAGCTGTATTGATGTTGCGTAAGTCCCGCCGCATGCATTGGGAGATCTATCTGTTCAGTTCCCTGTATGCTGTCAAATCTGTTGAAGAATGTAGCTTCATCTCCCGTCTAACAGCCAAGAGATTAAGAGTGTGATCGGAGAGTTTTTGTGTTCTTCTGCGGCAGGTCTTGCAGAACTTAGCTCCGACCGCATGGACAGTTTCCACGAGCTTGTCATTCAAATCGTCCACTTCATTGCGTGTCACAGAATACCAGCGTAAAATAGCAGCTTAACACTGCTGTGTTTCGTATGGTGAGTGTAGAGAACCGGATACCCTTTTTACTGGAAAAGAGGCATTCCATCTTAGTCCTCACG